AGTAACAAGCCCACACCAGGGTGGAATGGGGGAGGAATGGCCTCAAGCACTCTCTTCCTCTCCCTTACATATGCAAACTATCCACCCCAGGGCGGGTGCTGCTCTCACACCCTTAATCAAACTTTAAAAGCCTGCCCCGTTACCTCATGAGGCTTTGGGGGGACACACAGACATAAACTATAACATTGGGTGACACAGTGGGATCGCACTAACTTTGGGGAACTGGTGCAGAGTCTGGAGGGAAAGAGAGAAGGAAGAGATAAAACAAAGAACAGAACATGACAAGAACCACAAAGAGGGTAGAAATCGTGTTCCTGCTCTTGTAACAATAAGATCAAACAGTGAAGTATAGAAAAAAAAAAACCAAAGAAACAAAAACCAAAAGAAAACCACCACTACCACAATAAACAAACAAGAGGGAGGGAACTTTATATAAAGAAACTTTATATAAACAAAATATAAAGAAAAAAAAGTCTATATCTAGTTTTGTGTCTGCTGTCACTGGTAGACAACATGTGATTACAGAATCCTGATCCATGCTGATCTACTCCTGCAAGCCAGCAGTAGCTTTTTGGTGGGGTAGTGGATAATCTGAGCACTTCTGAGCATGACCAGACTCATTCAGCCTGCAGCCATCAGTGCATCTTCCACAGGCCTGAGCCCAGCTGGGAGCTAGTTGTTCAATGGCTTCCAGCCAATCTGTCTCTTGTGTGGTATGACTGAGCCCTTAGTACTCACTGCCAGCTAGTACAGTCCTTCACTTCTGTTGTCCTCTGGACTGCTGCATCTCTCCGTAGAGGCCTCTGAGTTTGTCAGCATTCACTGTGTGTCTGCACTTTTGAACCACTCCTCTCACACAGTGAGTCTCATCTCAGGGAGAAATCACTGCCAGCTACCTCCTTCTTCTTCTTTGGAGTTTCTCTTCTCACTCTCGGTGTGGTCTTCAATTCATACTTGAGATCCTTCCTGGGCCCAGAGGTTGAACTTCCCTCTTCCTTGTCTTCCTCCTGTTGCTGTACTTCAGTGTCTGGATGGTAACTCGCAGAAAGGCTTTTTCTCTGCTGCTTACCAATCCACTGTCTTGGTGCTCCTTCTATGCTGCACTTTTATGTCAAGCACTAATTTCATTATTAAAAATAATAAAAGAAGGCATTTAGATTGGGAGATTTCTCTCTTGTATTTTTTTTTTTTTGAGATAGTGACAAAATTAGCCAGTGATTATTTTCATTGTGATGGAATTTCCAAAAGCTTTGAACATTAGATTCAAATAGTAACAAATTTTTTTGAGAATTTTTGTTAATTCTGGAACATTAAAAAGAATTTCTTGATTAAATATAAGAAATGTCATGAAGATCAAGAATTTTAGAGTGCAACATCCTTGTCTTAATTTTTTTCCTTATGCTTATTTTGGATAATTTGAAAATAATATAGATATAAAAAAGTAAATTAAAATGATATCCGAGTACACTGCCCAGAGATAATTACTCACAATTTTGGACTACATTTTCCCCAAGATTTTGTTTTTCTCTGTTTACATGTATACATTTCGTTTTACTTTTACAAAACCAGAATCCTCTTGTCTAATTATCTTGTTACTAATCTCAGGTCCAACTGTAGTTTTTTGCTTTTATTTTTCATAAAACAGCATAAATTGCTTGGGTTAAATATGTCTTATGTAGTCTAGCCTCTTTGTGTACTGAACTGCGCAGCAAGTTTGTGTGTGTGTGTATGTGTGTTAAGGTGCACACGTTGTTTTTGGTATTCTCTTCTGTCTTATTCCCAGAGGGAATGTGTATTGAAAAATAGTTTTTAGAAATTATTGAACTTCCTTTAGTATTCTATACTAAGGACCATTCAAAGAAAACTGATGTTGTTAAGAACATGTGGAGAAATTTCTTAATCACTGCTGCTAATTAGGTGTATGAATTTACTGATGCCTCAGGGACTTGCTCAGAAAATACCAGTTAGTGATAAAATTAGAGTTGCTGCTCATAGCTCCTGAATGTTCAGTCTCTGTTTACAGGATTGTATTGCTCTCTGTGTAAATAGAAAGTATGATATCACTGTTTTGTTTGCCAGCTGGGATAAAGGAAGTATAGAAATTATAAATCCTAATGGATCTCTGGCAGTCTCAATGACAGTCCATGGTAGTATGTCACATGTCTCTGATCTTTTCATTTTTAAATTCTTGGTCACACATGTCAGATAGGCACTGTGAGAAGCAGGGCAATCCTAATACCCTTACTTAGTGCAGTCATTTTCCACATCCAGACTTCCCTACGTTATCTTTTCTTCTGAACATGGCTTCTAATTTCCTAAAGACCCTCTGTTTCTTGTGCTTACAGAAAGCAGAATAAGCTCAATTATGCTTCAGTTATAAACAACCCTTAAATATTAGTGGCTTTGTACACCAATATTTCTTACACATTTTGCATATCATTTGTGGACTGGCAGAAAGGTACTGCTCATAAAAGTAATTCCAAGATCCAAGAACAGCTACCAGATGGTACTGTGCAAAAAGTAAAAGGTGTTCAGGTGGATCTTGGCCTGGCAGTGACAGCCATAATCTCTCATTGGACAGAAGCAATCACATGTTTCATCCAACATGAATGGCCCAGGAGCTGAAATTCTACAGTGGTCCCAAAAAGCTAGGTGGTAGGGGAAAAATCTGCAATTATTTGGCAAACAGCTCTGATGACTAGCACACATTCATAGCTAGAGATCCATTTATATTTCATTGAGATAACTAAAGTGCTTTCCAGTCACCAAAACAAAACAAAGTGAAACAACAACAAAGCCACACCTAAACAAAACAAAACCAAAAGTCATGGAAGTTACTCATTTTCCAATTGTCAAATTTACCATCCTGCCTGAATTTATATCTTTTTTTCCCCCTCTTTTCAGCCTGTTGTAATATAGGAAGTATCTCTCCTTCTAGCCAAATGTTTGGATCACATTTTTGTGTCTCATTTTTTGAACACATACAGTGGTATCCCACTAAATGTTTACCAACTGCCTGTCCATGGGGAAAAAAAGCAGCCTTGATTTTTAGTGATTTCTGATCTCTGTAGTCTGAATACTGTCACCACAGCCAGTTTCAAGCTATCCCCATGGTATAACTGAATGAGTAGGTGGGAAGAAATGTGCACAGAAGGCTGTCAAGAGTGGATATGAAGGGAATTCTGCAAACTGCTTGTAGTCTTTTTTATGATACTACTCATATTAATCACATATGTGTATGCATATGTATTTTATGAAAGCTTGATTTCTTTCCTCTTAGATAAACACAAAACAACAATTTTATTATTTTCCTTTTCTCCAAATTCTAATGGCAAATCCCTGCATGCCTCATGTGGGAGCCTGGTACTCTAGATACTTTTGAGCTTAGTCTTTCAGTTAGTCATCCTCTCTTCTGCATCATTGGCCTCTTCCTCTTGTATCATTTCATGACTGTACTGACAAGCTATATTGTACACTAGTGTTTTCCACCATTAAGGGTGGACCCTTGACCTAGCATTCCTCTTTATCAATTTTTCTGTTTTTCTGTTCCCTATCATGACAAAACTACCCAGAGACATCTATACATGGCATTTCTACTTCTTCTTTTTCTTACCCAAATCTAACTTCTATCCCTAGTACCTAGCTGAAAGTGCCTTGGTCATTGTCATCAATGATTCCCATATTGTTGAATCTAATGGGTCATTTGTCCTCCTCTTGCGTGACCTCATCTCAGTAGATACAGTTGACTACTCCATTCTTGAAATAGTCTTCTCATGTGGCTTCTACTTTAATAAATTCTTTTGGTTTTCTACTTGTTCTTGTGCTGAACCTTTTTCTACAAGTCCGGAATTAATGTTGGTCCCTCATCTGTATTTTGACTGTTTTCCTTGGTGATTCATCCAACTGTAGGCCTTTATGAATCAGCTGTGTGCTGATGGTTTGCGCAGCAAGCTCCTGGCCCCACAGAGCTCCATCTGTGTATATCCAGTTGCCATTTGCTACTTCCACCTGAGATTTCACAGCTAGATAGCTTAATGGTGACAACTCCAAAGTAAAGCCCTTCATTCCTCCCTGTTCTTGTCCCTGCCATTTCTGTTTTGCCTTGGTCTTACTTATTTCAAAAAAAGTAATTCAGTTATTAAATCCACACATCTGGAAGTCATCCTTAACTTCTTTCTTTTTTGTTTTGTTTTTGTTTGTTTGTTTGAGACAGGGTCTCGCTATGTAATTCAGGCTGATCTTGAATTTACTGTGTAGCCCAGGTCTCATAACTTCTGCTTCCTGAGTGCTGGCATTGCAGGCATGAGCCACCACTGCCGGCTTTAACTTCTTTCTTTACCCCTCACATCTGAGCCATAACTACATCCCCTACCTATAAAATATGTATTTTATCTGTGCTTCTACCTTAATCCAGACTCTCAACATTTTTATCCTGGATGGTTATAATAGCACCTAATAGGATTTTCTACATTTTTCCTTTGCCTCTTTCCAATCCATGCCTTTTATAACTAAAAGTGATTTTATAAAATATAAATCAAATTATTCTTCTCCCCTTGAAATGCCTCAGGTATACTTAGAGAATTCTTAATGTGACTTCTGAGGCTGTGTGTGTTCTGGCCTCAGCCTCTCTCTTATCCTCATCATGCCTTTGGCTCCTGTGCTTTAGTAAAACTGGCCTTCTTTTTGGCCTTAGAACTGTTCGGTCTCTTTCTTCCGTGCCTTCACAGTTCTGGTCTATCTTCTGTATCTTCCTGAAGCTTGTCGCATGGCTGGTTCTTTCTGTTTTGAAGATCTCACCTTAAATTCAATCTCTGAAGAGATTCCCTCCTCTCCTCATGGCAGGTTTCCCACTGGGTTGTTTCTATCCTAATATTTATCACAATTTGGGATTGTTTTTCTTATTGTTTTATTGACTTGACTTGGTAGAAAGCTATGTGACAGCAAGAGATAGCTGTCTGCTGTCCATAAAAATTGATCTTTTTGCTTTGGTTTTGTTTCAGTGGCAGCTGAAATACCCTAAGCTGATTCTCCGAGAAGCAGGCGGTGTGTCCGCGGAGCTCCATAAAGAGGTTCAGGAAGCCTTTCTCACACTGCGCAAGCATGGCTGCTTATTTCGGGACCTGGTGAGGATCCAAGGCAAAGATTTTCTCACTCCAGTGTCTCGCATCCTCATTGGGAATCCTGGCTGCACCTACAAGTACCTGAATACCAGGCTCTTTACAGTACCCTGGCCTGTTAAGGGTTCTAATGTAAGCTACACTGAGGCAGAGATTGCTGCTGCTTGTCAGACCTTCCTTAAGCTCAATGACTATCTGCAGATAGAGACCATCCAGGCTTTGGAAGAACTTGCTGTGAAAGAGAAGGCCAAAGAAGATGCCGTGCCAGTGTTTATGACCGAGTTCCCCAGAGTGGGGATGGGGTCATCCCATGATGAAGTGGACATGAAGAGCAGAGCAGCATATAATGTAACTTTGCTGAATTTCTTGGATCCTCAGAAGATGCCATATTTGAAAGAGGAGCCTTACTTTGGTATGGGGAAAATGGCGGTGAGCTGGCACCATGACGAAAACCTGGTGGACAGGTCAGCAGTGGCGGTGTACAATTATAGCTGTGAAGGTACAGTCTGCTCAGGGAAAAGCAGCCATAATTATAGTATGATCAGAGTTGTTTAGACTCTTAAACAAAAGCAAAACACAAATATATATATGTATATATGTGCATGAATATGTGTGTATTTGTGTGTTGTGTGTACTTTTGAGGCCTTATGCGTCTACAGAATATACTTCCTTTTCATCTCGCTCTGCTATCTGGCTTATTGTTGCACTGCACTCCGAATTTTTTTGCATGTAAGCACTACTGTCATTTTGTCTTTCCCATGCCCAGGAGAGCAGCATCTTGGATTCATACAGCCAACTGCCTTTCTGTAAAGCTCAGAGTCGTTGTACAGTTACTATAATTAACTTGCTGATCAAGGGCTGGGAAAACAGCAATCTGTCAAATCTTTCCAGGGTCTCACAGGTGCACATTTCTTGTCTTGCCAAAATATTTTATTATGGTTGACATCACTATCTTGATGGGCATGATTTGTCGAGTATGGACTTGTTCCCGGTTTCTTCTCGTATTTACCACTATCCTTCCTTACCAGAAGCAGTGGAGGTGACTTTTCTAAGCTGGCATTCCTTTGTTTTCCCGAAGCTCCCTTGCTCCCTGCACAGTTCTGCAGTTTTAGATGGCATAGGGTTGCTGTGGCAAACTTGAGCTAGCTTTTTCTGAAACCTGGTTGCCTTAGAGCAGAGATCGTAGGCCACTCTTTAGTGGCTTACGCAAGTTTTCCTTTTTCTGTTGTTTGGTTTCTGTGCATTTGCAGTCATGACGAACCTTTTAGAGGTTTCAGTGTTGCAGACAGCCCTCTGCTGCCTGCATGCCGTAGGTTTGCCACCGCTGGTTTAGAGTCTCCATAGTTTCTCAGAATAGGATTACACATAGGGTACCTGGAGATGTAAAGGCCAGCATGGCCAACATTTTCTTCTTTGACTATTTGACAGAGGAACATAAGATATAGTATTAACTCTTCTCACTGTTTTATTTTTTCTCGCATTTTTATTGTTACTTTTAGTGTTTTTTTGTTTGTTTAGTAAAACGATTGTTCCAGAGAAGGGATTTTAGAGATAAAAAAAAAATCTCACAGTACTCTTAAAATTTCTTAGTCTCAAAAATTTCCCCAGGATAACTAGTATCCTTACCTTGTATTTTCAGTTCAGAACAAGGTACTAGTTTTTTTTTAAATTAAGTTTATTGGTATACATAATGATCGTATTCATAATGATCATTTTAGATATACATAATGATCATATTCATCATAGGGAATTGTACCCATATGTGGTTTATTTTGATTCTTCTTTTTTTTCCCAATCCCCTCTCCTTCCTTCAACCTTCTCATCCCTATTTACAAAGCTTTTTTCCATTTTACCCTTTTTAAAAAAATCTTTTCTTTTTCCTTTTCCCTTCCTTCAGAGCTTGGAAATTTCACCAGTATCCTTGGCCTCCTGAATAGTAACAGTGACCCAAGAAAATCCCTTGAAGGGATTCGGTGCTGTCCTAATGGAAAGAACTGAGATCCTCTGATCTTTAGTAAGGATTTGCCAGGGATTAAAGAACCATCACATCCAAGAACTCTGAAGGGAAGAAACAATTGAGTTTGTTACTTTCTTTCTTACAGAGGCAGCTTCCAGAAACTGTAGTAGTGGCATGTGATAGCACAAACTGCCACAAAGGTGTCTTTGTCCTCCCATTTCTTCTCAGTCTTGCAGTTTAATAGTTCTATTGTACTCCCTTCACATGCATGATCAAGTTGATTTGAGAATGCAGAGTATCTTTCTGAAAGGAATTAACATTTTTAAGCATAGTTTGTAGTTTATAAACTACTCTAGTTGAGAGTAGTTTATACTGATAAAATCCACAAATATAAATTATATCTAAATATAGGAATATTTATGCTTGCAGTTATCACCTTGAAGAGGGAACTACACAATTCAGACCTGTAGGAGCAGTATAATTGCTTTGTTTTCTTAACTCTCAAGATTCCCCCCAAAAAGCTCCTATTGTTTGAGCACCTACTGTATATGAGGCACTATTATAAGCATTTTACATGCTAACTCATTTTATTTTTTTCACAACAACTGGATGACTGAAGTAGTAATTAAGAACAGTGGTGCTCTGCATAGTGCTATTTTGGTCAAAGAGGTACTGCATATACTGTTGGTGGTGCAATAAGTTTATAATGGAGGTCAACATTTGCTGTTGCCTAGTGACCTTTTAATTTTGTAGAACTATGAATTACTCATGTGGTTTTGGTGATGCTGGTGTAAACAGGCCTCCGGTGCTTCCAGTTGTATAAAATAATAGCATGTTGGGGGCTGGGGATTTAGCTCAGCGGCAAAGCGCCTGCCTGGCAAGCGCAAGGTCGTGAGTTCGGTTCCCGGTACCGGAGAAAAACCAAAAAAAAAAAAAAAAATAATAGCATGTACAATGATATAATAATACTTGGTAGTGATCATATACTGGTTTATATGTTTACTGTACCATACTTTTGTTATTTTACAGTATTCTCTTTATTTTAAAAGTTTTCTATAAAACACTGCTGTGTTAAGTAAAAAGTAGCATTATACATGTGATGTTTATCCTGTCTTTTGATTGCATCAAGAGGCTGTTTTGAGTGACTATCTTGTACCATCTAGGTTTGGGTAAGTACATTCTGGTATTTATACAATGAGAAAGCTGTCTCATAACACATTTCTCAGAACATATGCCTAGTGTTAAGTGATGCATGACTATACTAATATTCTCATTTTACAGATGAAGAAACTGAGGCACAGCAGGATGATTAATTTTTTCATGGTTATATAGTTAGTAATTAGCAGAGCTTGGATTTAAACTGAGACCTTCTAGTCTCTTAAGTCTTAACATCCAAGCCTGTGTACCTTATGAGTAGGTATTCCCTATTCCATTGGTGGAGCTATCTTTGGGATGGGTAAGGGGATCTACTTGTCCCCTTTAAGGTCCTGATACTTTTTCCCCCAACTTCATTCTGCATCTGCTATAATTTTCTAGCACGTACTCTCAAGTGATTAGAGTCTATTAAATTAGCTTATTCTATGAAATGGAACCTTTCTCCAGGTCTCTGGCTATTTGTGTGATTTTGGGCCAGATGTTGTACAAATTAAGTGCCTTGAAGCTTTCTGGTGGATGAATTTCTACCAAGAGAGAAGATGTTTAGTTCTCTGGCCTTCTTATATTCCTTCCAGAACGATGGTAAGGGTAGACTTGAAGAGAGCCACTTGGGTTAAAATCCTGGTTAGAGTGGTGGGGCTGGAGAGGGTCACACAGAGTGGAAACTCTAGAAACTCAGCTGTTTTCCATGTCCTTATACATGTTTGTTGGGCCATTGCTAAGGGAAGTTCAATTAACTGTTCTAGATAATACGAGGTCCAGAGGTAAATCAAATGCACTTCTTACCTTGAGAAACACATGATTGTAGATTCTTGTGATTTTATTATGAAATGGTCAGCCTTTAGATCTGGAGGAGACTTTTGAAATCACCTGAGTCTGGTCTCTGAGGGAAGCGGGAAAGTAGCTTGCCCAAGGTCCTATAGTCACTTTGTGATGGGATCAGGGATGTCAGTTGCAAAGTGTTGCTTGCCACTAGAGAAGTTCACATCAAATGCATTGGGAGTTTAGATTCAGAAGTGATTACCTTCTGCTGGAAATAAATTCAGTTGAAGCTTTAGATCTTTCAGGACTTTGCTCTCAATATCTTTTCCCAGGGAAATCTCGTAGATTTATAATGAGCCAATCATCTCCCTTTGGTTTATTTCCATGAATAAAGGTCATTGAGAAGTAATTTGTATAGGATATGTGTAATTATATACTAAATTCGTTGGCTTTCACATGAATTTCTAGTTAATAGATATCTTCAGAAGGAAGATTGAAATGGTACAATTTTTAATCAGGAATGGCTTCAGGGAACCATATGTAAATAAGCAGAGTATTTGATTTTCCTATTCCAGCTTTGCTGGCAATTGCTTGTTACTCCTAGGTGTAAAAAATGGATTTTAGCAGAGAAGGCATTAAAACCTATTGTTTAATATGGCCCAATACCTTGTTCTTTGACTGGAATACTTGCAGAAACATCACTTAGACAATAACTGCTAGTTACCAGTTTTGTTTATTTATATTGAAGAAAACATTTTCTATGATATTGTCTTTATTATAGCAAAAGCAATTTAAAAATTTTTTAGCTAGTGCCATGTATTTTGTATTCTCTCCATTATTTTCCAGGTCTCCTCTGAAGGGCAAAAGAGGCTCACAGAATGTATCCTGCTGAGTATTTTTTTAGCCTAAAAAGTAGGGGCTTTGCAGTAATTTTCCTGGAACTCTAGGATTTCTAATTATGTCTCTGATGTGGGAAAAGTAGAATCCTTTTAAGGATAGAAATTTGTTTTTATAGTTCTTGAGTGTCCATTTAGAAATGAGTTTTTCTATATTCTTTGAGATCAGGAAACACTAGATTGTAATTGCAGGTAGGGTTTTTTTTCCTCATCAGCATCACTGTCTCAAAACACATTTGACCTGTGCTTGTTTTATTGCATCATGCCATGTCTTGACACTTATTCTTAAAGTCACGTTTACTACTCAGTGGTAAGTAGTAGTGAGCTGGTCCTACAACTCACTCTCTTTTTGGCTCCCTATGAAGTTACTTATTCATTTAACAATTCACATCGCTTATTTGCTAAGCACTGTTCTAGAAGTTGAGCATGAAACAGTGAACAAAACACAGAAATCCTTGCCCTCATTGAATTTACATTTGAGCAAGAGGAGACAGAAAATTAAAAAGTAGGTTGTGTAACAAGAGTAAGGGCCAGACTTAAGCCTTATGTTGAGATGTTATATACGGCCTCTTTCAGAAAGTAAGGTCTGAGTATAGGCTGGAAAGAATGAGTCAGTTGGAAATTTGAAGAGAGAACTGTCTCGTAAAGAACATGGAACGCAAGTGGACCTCCGTGGAGAATGATAGGGATGTTCCACAAGCCAGAAGTATGGAAGGGATAGAGGAAGAG